TTTTTTTTCTGGCCAGGCAAGTGGCCCTAGGCCATTCTGATAATATGACTGATAATATTATGTAGAAACAATCCCCCCTACAATTCCGCCCTATAATATGACTGATAATATTATGTAGAAACAGTCATATCAAAATTCATTACCAAATTTAAAGTGCAAAAACTACCGCCTACCCACCTACAATTCCCCCACCCCCCCAATCCCCCCAAAAAACAAAAACAATCCAAAAACTCTGAAAGAAGGTAATTATGTAGAAAACTAGGCTACCAGCCGGGCCGCCCAAGTCCCGGGTGGCCAGCGCGTGCAAGGACCAAGGAAGGTCCTAGAGGAAAAAAAAAAAAAAAAAAAGGAAACAAACAAACTCAAAAAAAAAAACTATGTTATGAAGATAAATAAACTGAACAACTTTTGCCCGAGGGTCACATCCTAATTCTTTACCAAATCTAAAATCTAAAATAAATTTTAAAATATGTTTCTTACTTTTATGTCTTAAAATGTTTTTAGCCCGGCCGGGCCAGTGACCCCGGGCCACTCTGGTAGCCTAGGTAGAAAATGAACTGAACAACTTTTGCCTCAGGGTCATATCAAAATTCTTTACCAACGATCTGCGGGCCTAGCTCAGTTGGTAAGGCACACAAGTTGCATTCAGGAGGTCGTGGGTTCAATCCCTATCTGGCTCCGCCTCCCCACCAACCAGGAAGTTTCCAACAGGCGCACGGAAGCTGCGAGGTAGGAAAGGCGGGGAGGTCTGGGCAGGACGCGTGGCGAAGGGGAAGGCAGGGTGGACATGAGGGAAGCGGGAGGACAATGAAAGTGGGCCGTTTACACATACTGTAAAAATAAAACTGATAATATTATAGCCAATTTATAGGTTTTGTTTTTGCAGTAGGCGAAAACGTAGGGATAGGGTTGTGCACTTTCAATTGTTAATGTGTAGCTCACAGTACCCCACAATTCAGGTCGGACTAGTGAGGCGATTGGACCAGTGGATATAACTGGGGCTGACCAAACGGTACCTTGAAAATAAGGAGGGTCTGTATTTTTTTGACGAGTGGGTCAGAACAGGTACCGTACCGAAACAACGTGATAGAATTGATGGGAGATCAGTATAAGTACAATGACGACATTTTCGAGGGTCTTTTTGCGGGTCAGACGTCAAAGTGTTCCGCCAGATGGTGGGAGCTACGGAGACGGTCAGACGTCAAAGTGTTCCGCCAGATGGTGGGAGCTACGGAGACGGAGGTGGGAATGAGGAAGACCGTGTAGTATAGGGAGACGAAGGTGGATTCCCCCTGAGGAGACCACGTGGCGGCGGTCGAAACCGGTCGGGGTGCCATACCTGCCGGAGGAAATGAGTTTTTGWACTTGTGCACAGTCGTGTACCATTTTSGGCACAGTTGTGTACCATGCTCTGATTTACATGTGTTCACAGTCATTGTGTATGGTTGATTACGAGCACCATTATCAACACCTACGTAAGGCGCACATGAACCAACCTGGAGACRAATACTGGGTTAGTKTGAGCGTGTAAGACATCAGTGTACGATTTGCTAGCGAAGTGGTAAGGAAGACTTGCAACCCGACACGATAGGACAGGAAGGATCAGAACTGTGGCTGCGAGGATGGGCGACCGCAAATACCGCGAGTTGAGTCGTGATTATCGAGAGAACAATGAACGAGGACGTGATAGTAGACGCGATGATGCATGGCTAAGACATCGGGGGCGAAGCCAAGACGACTACCGGCATGACCGGAGCGAGCGATCGTATGGGAGCGGGGACTATGGACGTCGTGGTCCACCGACCTGCTATAACTTCGGGGAGGTGGGACACTATAAAAACCAATGTTGGAAGCGCAGCGAAGAGGCGGTCTCGAAGGGAGGCGCGAGTACATCAAGTGTACCAAGGCCGGTAACGCAAGTCGATGACGAGGTCAAAAAGACAGTGGAAGGACATGCTAGCTCGGTTGCATGCTTCAAGGAATACATCGACAARGAAAACATGAAGAAAGAGAATAAGGAGAGGAAGAAAAGGGAGAAGGAGGAACGTGCTCGCAAGGAAGAAGAGGAATGGATGGCGAAGGAGGCTGAGCGGGCAGCAAAAGAGGAACGAGCGGCGCAGAAGATGGCCAAGAAGAAGAAGGAGGAGGAAGAGAAACTGGAGTTTACGAAATCAGTGAGGATGCATGTCGCTATGTGCATGGGAGGACTTCAAGAGCAGGTGCAAGACCAAATGCGGAGGAACATGGAGGAATTCCAAAGGATCCTGAAAGGCAAGCAGGTTGTGTCTCCTTCAGGATCAGTTGGATCACATACCAGCGACCGGGTGGCGAGCGAAGTCGAAGAACTTAGCCACAAGGCAGAAAGGCTGGTGATAACTGAGAAGAGGAAGCGTAGCCATGACGGACCAGTTGGGAATAGTCCACCTGTCACGCAAACACCGAAGAAGACTCCTAGAAAAACGGGAGTGAAACCCGTTAAGCTTGCCACGAAACTCCAAGCGACTGTCGGAAGGACAGCGAAGAAGACCACGACGCAAGTCGAGACCAAGAAAACACCGACAAGATACACACCAAAGAAGGACACACCGAAGACCAAGATCGCAGCGAAGATGGGATCAGCAGGGCGAGTCAAGTTCATTGGGGAGAACATGCGGGAGCTAGCCGAGTACCATGCCGACGATCTGAAGAAGGTGTGTAGGCGCGACGATGTGGAGTACGGGAATAAAGTGACGGCAATGATTAACATCGTGGAAAAGTGAGCGGAGGAAGCATATGGCGAGCCCGAGACTGTTGGAGAAGGGAACGAGGAAGACGTGTCCAACACCAAACAGAGTACCGATGATGCAAGTGATACCGGCGACGATGACTGAACTGACTTGGATGGACCGGGACTGTGGGGACTATGTCACTGGCTCATTAACCATCGTAAGTAGTCGAAGTATGATAGGAAGATCGAATGTTGTTACCGAGTTGTTGTTGTCCTCTTAGGAATCACGGGGAAGATTAGATGGTTGGCCAAATTTACGACATCAYGGCTGCAACTTTTTAAGAGGCATGGAATCAAGTTTCTCGACAAACACAAGGGAGTMTACGCACTCGCATCACCACSATGTCGCRCGCTGTACATCGGTCAGACAGGTMGAGAYGTGGAAATTAGATGGAAGGAGCATGYGGCTGCAGGTACCAGATTGGGGAAGAATACCCACCTATATAGGTGGTTGAGGACGTTTGGAACCGAATCATACACTATTYTGCCGATCGACGAGTGKKAAGCGTGTGAACTGGTGCAACTAGAACARCTATACAYTCSTAGATGGTCTCCARTGCTTAACGTTAGCGGAGCTATTAAGAARCCAAGGAGGAAGAAGAAAGCACATAAAGGAAGGAATGAGAGGAAATGACTGAACGGTGAAGTGGTAGAGAGGGAAGCTCGACCTGTGGAGGCAGTTAGGGTACGTATTAATGAAGACAGTGAATGGCATCAGGGCATCTTCGAGTTGTTGGAAGACCASGAGAAGAAGGGCGAGYGGTCCTTCAAGTTGTATTCAACTGGGGGTARCAGTTGGACAGATAGCTGGAAACGCATCAARAACGCATTCGGGCGATCCAMCGTAGTGGTGAAAGGGGAGACCACCAAACTGGYTAAATGCAAAACRTACATCGATGAAGGACTCGTTATCGACGTCAAGTACCTGCGGAGATGGACCCCGAGAATCGTCCTCGATAAGAAGCGATTGATTGAAGTGCTCCGCAACCCGAAAAARATGCAATYTGTGAGCCTRGAAGATGTCGATACRCTGTTTTGTCTCTRCAAGGCGGCGAAGGACTTCCATCAAAAGTCGACTAGAGCCTACCTCAGGAGAATCATTGGAGGAGTGATAAAGAAGAAGAGTCAATTGATGATGAGTGCAGATCTAGTCGTACGAATAAAATACGACGRCAGAGTCAAACTAGCKGAGGTCARGAAAGTGGTGAATGACAAGATTCAGGGACTCAAACTACCGGACTGTATGGCGAAACGTACTAGGAGCAAGGTCCGTACAGTATGGGTGAAAAACCCGACTGTAGGGGAATTGATACACAACCAGCGGAGATACGCTCGCGCTGCTGTGTCCACCTGCACATGTGCAAGTCTTCCATATCCAAGGAGTGGAGAGCATGTATGTTTCCGCCTGCAAGAACTGGAGGGAGTGCATCCGATGTTGTGTAACGTAGGCAACGTGCCTAAGTCATAGCAACCGGATCGGTTGGGTACGTTGAGGAAGGAGATTGAGGCGGGATTTGAGACGTGGAGGAATAGAGGGGATATAGTAGTCCGGGTGGAACCAAGTGAAGTCACGCACTGCGTCATGACTGACAAAGTGCAAGGAGGTGACTACCTCGACATCTCAGTAGTGCGGGAAATCAAAGAGAAGCTGAGGATGTTAGTCTTGACACCGCTAAACAGAAACCAAGGAGAGACACTAGTTATGTGCCCATACACATACTATGAGGCCATGATGGGAATGTTCGTGACAAGTCCTGGATACAAAATCATGACGAAAAATGAACACGAAGTCAAACAAGAGATGCAAACTGAGTTTAAAGAGAAAGGTATCGGGAGATTCGCAAGGCTGGAGATGAAGGGGACGTTTGGTGCTGCGTACGTGCAACCGAAACACAAAAATGTCGATACGTATCGACCCATCTACCCATTATACGCAGACCCGACTGCAAGAACGGGGAAATGTGTGGCTAAAGCTCTTAACCACATGCTGTTCAATTTGCCATCGAGTTGGCACTTCAACTTGAAGTCGGTTATTGATGTGGCTGACAAGATCGGGAAGATCAATCGAAGATTGGAGAAGCAGTCCGGAGCGAATCAGCAATTGTCATGCATGTCATACGATATTAAAGACATGTTTTGTAAATTGCTGCACGCCGACATCATCAATGCGGTCGAGTGGATCACCGACTATTTTATCAGTAAGGGCCAGACTACAATCCGAGTCAACACGAGGGGCAGAGGGAGTTCGTTCGGCAAGACAACACGAGCAGACCACTGGCGTAGTCTCTGAATGGAAGATATCAAGAAATTCGTAAGGATAGACATGCGACACACATACATCCATGAGACAGGAGTACTCTTACAACAGACAGTCGGTATTCCGATGGGTAAGAGCACCAGCCCGCCGCTGGCATGTATATTATGCGCCTACTCGGAATATAAGTTTCTGAGAAGTCTAGGCGGCGCAGGGAGGAATGTTTTTGGAATGCGGTTGATGGACGATGTGAGCATCATCATCAGTTAGAAAAGGGGAAAAGCAGCAATGGTGGCGAGCATTCAAGAGGGATTTGAGGAGTGTTACCCAAGTAATCTGACTTTAAAACGGACCGATGATGGGCGGAACGTATGGGATTTATTGGGACTGGAAATGAGAGCGGAACGGTTGTATCCGCATATAGGCTATGTGCAGATGTCGAAGAACGAGAAGACGATCTGGGAGCAAGAGACTCTGGAGTTCAAGAATGGCCAGAACTTTAAGTCGTGGGGTAGCAAGCAACAAAAAAGTACGGTGGTGGCAAGTTACCTGCACAGAGTTAATGTGAATACAACAATACGCTCTGAGATCCCAGTACGAGTGCTTACTCTGAGTAGGGAATTGCGGATGAAAGATTATCCGGACGAGTTTGTTTCAAGAGTTTTGAAGGGATTCAGTAAAGGTCGTGGGGAGATTTGGGAGTCAACAAGGAAATGGATCTKTGATGTATGATGAGGTAGATGAATCACAGATCAAYGGAATGGCATACARCRAGGATAAAGYTGTGTATGGACAACAGACTGCATTCTCCTCTGAGATACATTGTKAACAGTACGAGCTGCAGTGGGATRATTTGATTTGCTTTGTGTGGTGTGGTGTGAAACCTGCTGTAAGCTATCAGCGATCGGGATATAGGGATAGGGTCTYGCATATGTCATGGACTGTTTGACAATACARGATAAGATAGGAKTGTGTACCCRTTGYTTAGAACGACGTTTGTGAGYAGGAYAGTRTACTTTACTGTGACTGAGTAACCATYGGAAGCTGCARTAGGAYTTGGTTTTGTGTTGAGTGCAATGGTGTGAAAAMCTGYTGCAAGCGGTTAARWACTRTATTTTTTGATGACGTAGGGATAGGGTTGTGCATTTTGAATTTTTGAAGACGTAGGGATAGGGTTGTGCACTTTAAATTGTTAATGTGTAGCTCATAGTACCCCACAATTCAGGTTAGACTAGTGAGGCGATTGGACCAGTGGATATAACTGGGGCTGACCAGATGGTACTTTGAAAATAAGGAGGGTCTATATTTTTTTGACGAGTGGGTCAGAACAGGTACCGTACCGAAACAACGTGATAGAATTGATGAGAGATTTGTATAAGTACAATGACGACATTTTCAAGGGTCTTTTTGCGGGTCAGGCGTCAAAGTGTTCCGCCAGATGGTGGGAGCTACGGAGACGGTCAGACGTCAAAGTGTTCCGCCAGATGGTGGGAGCTACGGAGACGAAGGTGGGAATGAGGAAGACGGTGTAGTATAGGGGGACGAAGGTGGATTCCCCCTGAGGAGACCGCGTGGCGGCGGTCGAAACCGGTCGGGGTGCCATACCCGCCGGAGGAAATGAGTTTTTGGACTTGTGCACAGTCGTGTACCATTTTGGGCACAGTTGTGTACCATGCTCTGATTTTCATGTGTTCACAGTCATTGTGTATGCTTGATTACGAGCACCATTATCAACACCAAGAACCCGTCCTCGCATCACCATACTTGGTGCTCCTTTCTAATATATTACCCCCACCGATTCCCCCTTCACCCCCGYCTTTGCCCTTAGCCGGAAGGAACCCCCCTCGCCCGCCTCCACGCCCCGCCTCCTCACCCTGCGCTCTTTGTCTTTCCCCSWGCTCGCCTTGCACCTTTCCCCGCTCGTAGATTGACTACTTGAAAGGAGTTCTTGATTGAGGGGAGGAAGCGGGAAGGGGGGGAATCGAAGGCAAGCATTCATGGTGAGGGGAGAGATGGGGGTGAAAGGGGAAGGCSGAGCCGKTGGGGGGAGAGCGRCGGGGACGGGGCGATAGGAGGGTGCACATCTTTTTCTCTGTCATTTTTGCAAAATGCRAAAATAAGATCGATAAAATCATTTATCACACTTTCGGTATACGCGAAAATGATGGCCTTCCCGCCTGCATTTCCCCGTTCCCCGCTCTTCCTCAACCGACACCGCCTTCCCCCTTCACCATGTGTCCTGCGCAGTCCTCTCTGCCTTTCCCTCCTAGCAACTCCCATGTGCCTTTTCGTAACTTCTTGGGTGACGGGGACGCGGAGGCAGATGGGAGGAGTGGCRAGAAAGAGAGASGAGAAGCGAGGAMGGGTTCTGCGCTCTGTTTTTGCCTTCTRCAAAAATAAAACCGATAATATTATCTGTTTTAATTTTTTGCACAACGCACAAACAGAGCACATAACCCGTCGTCGCTTCTCCTCCCTCTTTCCAGCCTTCCCCCTTTGTCCTACCCAGACCTCTCCGCCGTTCCCGCTTCACAGCTTCTGTGCGCCTTCAGGTAACTTCTTTGTGCTCCCTCTTTCCACCTGTGTGCCAATGGAAAAGTACCCCGCCCCCAACTGATCTACGACTACAAGTCTGCTGCTAATGGACATGTTGGCAGTTGGTTATAAAATCGAACCGATAATTTTATCGGTCCGCTTTTGTATGTTTCGCGAAACCAGACAGGTAAAGTTTTTGCCTATAGACAAAACCAGACCAATAATTTTATCAGTCCAGTTTTGCTAGACTTCCAAAACCGGACCGATAAAATTATCGGTCCTGTTTGGAACAACAGGCGTGGGGGCGCAGACCAACAGGCAACAAGCGGGTCAAGCCACATAATTTCCACGCACCAACTTTGGCAATTTTTCACGCCCTGAATACTTCATAGAAAAAACTGAATGTTAAGGATCCAATAGACTTGGTCGTGATCTTTCCAGGAAAAATATCAAAAAAATGAAAAAAAATGGTTTAGATAGTGAAATAATTGACGTGCCAAATCGGCGCATTTTCCATTTTTGCCACTCCACCACCTATCGGCCAAGGGAAAAGTGCCCTGAATTCAGTGATTTTTCGCTCTCAAACCAATGCAAAACAATAGCTAAAAATTGGTGGCCCCGTAGGTTAGGTCGTTACCGTTTTAGGAAAAATATCAAAAAAATAAAAACAAATTTTTAGATAGTGAAATGATTGCCGCGCTGATTTGGCACATTCTCCATTTTCGCCACTATGCCACCTGTGGCAGCCGTGGCGAGGGTGGAAGGCGGTGGGGGGGGGAGCGCCAGCTGCGGTGAAGGCGGAAGGCCGCGTTGGGCGAAGGCAGAAGGTGGGGGCAAGGAGGAAGATGGGGTTGAGGCAGCCGTGGCGAGGGTGGAAGGCGGTGGGGGGGGGGGCGGCAGCTGCAGCGAGGGCGGAAGGCCGCGTCGGGCGGAGGCGGAAGGCGGGGGCAAGGCGGAAGATGGGGGGGAGGCAGCCATGGCGATGGCGGAAGGCAGGTGCAAGGTGGAAAATGGGGGGAGGCAGCCGTGTACAAAACCGGACCAGTTTTGCCAATTATGAAAAAACAGACCGATAATTTTATCGGCCCGGTTTTGCCAAACATACAAAGCCAGATAGATAATTTTATCTATCCAATTTTGTCACCAATTGTGGACATGCACATTCTCGGTGTGGTTTTGCCAAACGTAAAAAACCGGATAGATAATTTTACCTATCGATTTTGTAACCAACAATGACATGCACATTCTCAGCCCAGTTTTGCCAAACATACAAAACCGGACAGATAATTTTATCTATCCGATTTTTTTTATTTATTATTATTATTATTTTTTTTTCATCTATCCGATTTTGTAATCACATTATCGGTCCAGTTTTGCCATACGTACAAAACCGGATAGATAATTTTATCTATCCAATTTTGCAACCAACTGTGGACATGCACATTATCTGTCCAGTTGTGCCAACTGTGGACATGCACATTCTCGGCCCGGTTTTGCCAAACATACAAAACCGGATAGATAATTTTATCTCTCCGATTTTGTAACCAACCGATTGAATGGTGCCAGGGTTGTCGACCCCCCCCCCGGGGGCCCCGACGGGGGTCCGGGGGTCCGGGGGTGGGCACCCCTGACCCCGGCTCCGGACCCCCTAAGAAAAAAAAAAAAAAAAATCAAAAAAAAAAATTAGGGGGGTGCGCAGCGGCGGCCTGCACCCCTTGGGCTGAAACTGCAAAAATGCAGTTTTGGGCCCACCTCGGCCCCCCCCCGGGGCTACACCCACCCCTAGTGAGCCCGGGGTCACCCTCGGCGCGGGGCCGGGGCGGGGCTGAGCGGGGTGCGGGGCCGGGGAT